CAGCAGCAGCAGCAGCAACAGCAGCAGCAGCAACAGCAGCAGCAGCAGCAGCAACAGCAGCAGCAGAACTAACAAGACTCCTCTAGCAGCCTTAATATTTTTTCTTCAGTTTGGTCGCGCTTGCGGCGAATTTCCTGCAACTCTTCGCGGGTTTGTTGTCTTAGAGAGAGGAGCATTCTAAACAAATAAAATAAATAAATAAATAAATAAATAAATAAATAAATAAATAAATAAATAAATAAATAAATAAATAAATGAAAGCAAATAAAGAAACAATTAAAAAAACAAAAAAGAAACAAAACAAAAAACTAAAAAATGCACTTCAGAAAAACACAGCATACGTTCAGACCCTAAACCCTAAACCCTAAACCCTAAACCCTAAACCCTAAACCCCAGGGTTTATTACTTGTTTAGAGCTTCTTCAGCCTGCCGCCTCGAAGCCGCCTCTTCACAAATTGCCTTCTCCGCCTCCCCCAGTGCTGCAAACCCCAAACCCTAAACCCTAAACCCTAGTCCATAAACCCTAAACCCTAAACCCTAAACCCTAAACCCTAAACCTCAATCCCTACCTCTTAAGCTGAAACCCTAAACCCTAGGGGGCGGCTCACCGTCATTCAGTTTGGCTGTCAACACCTCAGCAGCAGACTTCCTGTACATACAGCCCAAGCCCTAAACCCTAAACCTAAACCCTAAACCCTAAATAGCAAACCCTCAAGCTAACCATGCGTCCTGAACCCTAAACCCTAAACCCTAAACCCTAACCTGGTGCTCTTTACTTGAGCAAGCGAAGCCCATAGGTCTGCACATCTTTCTTTTGCCTTATCAGACGCTACAGCTGTTCCCCATGACTCTGAACGCAAAACCCTAAACCCTAAACCCTAAACCCTAAACCCTAATCCCTCTCCCTGAAGCCCTCGGCCTTGAATACGCAGGGTTTTACGCCTTAAGAAAGAAGATGCAGGATCTGCTGTCTGCAGCAAAAGCATTTAGGGTTTAGGGTTTAGCGTTTAGGGTTTAGGGTTTAGGGTTTATATACTCTCTTTGTTCTCATAGAAGAGACTGAGGCTCTCAATTAATTTGTCTCCTTCGCAGCGCATGCGGCTAACTAAAGTGTCTCTTTCCTGCAGCAGCAAAGCAGAGAAAAACATTAAAATAAATAAATTAAATAAACAAACAAACTTAAATTAAATAAACAAACAAAAACAAAAACAGATAAACAAATAAACAAAAAGAAACAAACAACTCTAAACAAATAAACAAAAAGAAACAAACAACTCTAAACAAATAAACAAAAAGGAGACAGACAGTGTCTACCTTTCTGAGTTCTTTTATCTCGCTAACAGCTGCCTTCTCTATTGCTGGAAGTGTCTCCATTCGGTGCTGCTGCAGCTGCTGCTGCTGCTGCTGCAGCGCAGCAACAGCAGCTTCGAGCTGTTGAATCTCCTGAGAGCCGACCTAAGGTAAAGAGACATCAAATAGAAATATAAAAAAAACAAAATTAAATTAATTAATTAATTAAATAAAATATAAATAAGATTTACTCATAGCGGCAACTTCGCGGTGCAGCAGCAGCAGCAGCAGCAACAGCAGCAACAGCAGCAGCAAACGCAGCAGCAAGAACAGCAGCAATAAGAGCAGCAGCAGCAGAATAAGCAGCAGCAATAATAGCAACTATAAGAGCGACAGAATAGCCAGCACCAGCAGCAACAGCAGCAACAACAGCAACAGCAGCAACAACAGCAGCAGCAAAAGCAGCAGCAACAGCAGCAGCAACAGCACTGCCGAGGCCAGAGTAAAGATAAGAATAAAATAAATGCATTTAAAATGTATATAAATAAAAAATAAACAAACAAATTTAAAACTGAGGAATAAACAAAAGACAGATAGAAGAGCAGCAGAGATTAATTATTATAAACAAAACAAAAACATAAAAAAAGCAAAGTAAATTAAAACAAAGAAGAGAAGAGACATAAAACAACAAATAAATAAAGACAAAGAGAGACAGATTAAAGGGGACGAAGAAATGAAGAAACAGAGACAGATAAAAAGAGAAGAAAGCAAAGATATAGCTATACCCATACATATATATATATATATATATATATATTATGTATATTATATATATTATATATATAGAGAGAGAGATAGAGAGACAGAGACAGAGACAGCAAGAGTAGTAGATAAAGACAAAGACAAAGCGATAAAGAAGTAAAAATAAACGAGAGACGCAAACTTTTTTAAAGGAATAAAATATGTTTTTGTTGTTGTTTTATTATTATTCACCTGTGTAGACACCGCAGCCCATTGCTGCAATTTGGCTGTCCGCGCCTCTAAGGCGGTTATCGCAGCCTCACAAGCACTTTCCATTTCAAACCCTAAACCCTAAACCCTAAACCCTAAACTCTAAACCCTAGATAAACCCTCAGGGGCCCCTGAAGCGTAACAAGAGTTGTGTGCAGCACCAGGGAAGGTAGGGGGGCCCCTGAACGGCTGAAATGAGAAATATCTGCTGCGTTATAATCAGATTATAGAAGCAAATCAAAACCCTAAACCCTAAACCCTAAACCCTAAACCCTAGCTACAGTTTCGTTCGCTCTCCAGCTGTACGGCCCCCCCCACGGTGTTGATTGAAAGGGTTTGAGCGGAGGAGAAAGACTAAAAATATAATTAATTAAATAATTAAAATTAATAAAATAAAATAAAATAAAATAATTTGTCAATAAGAAGAAAACTACTCGAAGGTATATACTTATGAAACCCTAGTCGGCGCTGGGGCCCCCCTTGGCTGCAGCACTATTATTAGAGGCAGCCAAACAAAGTTAAGAAAATAATAATATTAAGATATTTATTTTAATTTAAATAATATTAATATAATAATATTAATAATATAATAATATTAATAATATAAATATATTAAAACAATTCTTAACTCATAAAATACTCTGCACAAGGCGCATAAGAGATATATTTATTATTATTATTTGTTTTTCTTGTTTAATAAAATAAACATAAAAATAAATTATATTTAAACAAGTTTATTTAAATATATATTAAATCTATTTGACGAATATTTGTGGGTTTAGTGCATAGTATGTCTGTTCTTTCATTACTTTTCTTGTTTGTATATTAAATTACTTTAATAAAAGTAGTAATAAATAAACAACCCTAAACCCCAACCCTAAACCCTAAACCCTAAAACAACAACAACAACTTTATTAAAACAAATAAACTGCAATAACGCCTCTTCGAGCCCAACAGGAGCACCCTCCAAACACTGTAGGGTTTACGGGTTGGAGCATAGGGTTGAATGCTAAGGGTTTAGGGTTTAGGGTTTAGGGTTTAGGGTTTAAGGTTTAGGGTTTTGTGTGTTTGTATCGACCTTGAGTATCGTTTGCACTGCCTCTGATTGAATTTTTTATTTCAGTTTACTTCGGGTGTATCTCCAGCTGCAATTTTAATATTATTCACAATCAATATACCCTTGGGTATATTTATTTTTATTATTTATTTAACTTCTCCTTTATTTTTTTTTAAATCTCTCGCATTATCTCTTTATGAATATACTTCTTTTAATATCTTCTTAACTTCGTCTTTATTGCTCTCGGAGGAGGCTGCCTAAGGGGACATATATATATATATATATATATATATGTATATACATATATGTAGATTATATATATGTAGATGATATAAATAGTATATAATGCATTTATATATCATGTATATATATATATATATATATATATATATATAAACGAGGGCGCTACCCCTGTACAGATGCATGCACTTGCAGTGTATCAGCTCCTCCCGTGTCTCGCATCACTAACCTTCATACCTGCATTCCTTTTATACATATATATATACATAATATATATAATATAATATATAATATAATATAATATAATATATATATATTTATATATTTGCCGGCAGATGTTTTTGTGCTAAGATATGCGGTAGCGTCTTCAGTCTTTACAATATCTGTTCGTCAAAGAAAGCAGTAAAACAAGTTGTTTAATTGTTTATAAGAAAATAAACATCTGTATAACCCCTCAGCTACTCTTTTGCTATTCACAGAGTTTATTGAATACGATAGAAGTCTATCACGATATTACAAGCCGTTTTACTTGCTCTGATGAGGAGTCAAGAAGTACTTATGTTATTTATATATATTGTATATATATTATAAATATTATATTTATTATATATATAATATATATTATAAATATTATATATATAAT